ACAACACTCCAGTAGTCAATTACATGCCAGGGAGACAGAAAAGTGGGTGAAGAATTTATCTGACAGACAGCTCACCCAGCCGGAGACAGAGATTCTTGCCAGGGGACTGAACTTTGCGGTTGCACCAAGTAGAATTCCTCTGGTGGAGATGATCACAGCTACTGAGTCAGCCATCCGTAACAACAAAATGAAGGAGGCTGAAGCAGAACAGCTCAGAATCAAAGTTTCAGCCTGCCTCAGCAATGCCAAACCACCACCTTCCAACATCAGTAGAGAGGAGAGGGATGCACTCATCACTCTTAGCAAGGACAAAAACATCATCATTCTCCCAGCAGACAAAGGAAGGTGCACAGTGATTTTGAACCAGAAAGACTATCATGAGAAAGTTATGACACTCCTTAGTGATTTAAACACTTATGAACCTCTGAAAAGAGATCCAGGAAGTGGTTACAAGAAGAAATTGATAGATTGCCTGAAAAATTTGGAGCAGGACAAGGCTATTGACCGTTTTCTGTACCACAGACTGTACACAGGGGAGGCCACACCTAGTCTGTATGGTTTACCTAAAATCCACAAACAAGGTGTACATTTAAGACCAATTCAACTTTTTTTCAGTCAGGTCATCTGGACAGTTTCTTTTTGTGCTGAAACGTTTCACCTTCTATCCAGAAGGCTTCATCAGTCAAGGAAACACACAACAAAACTGATTCTTCCCCCAAACAGCTTACTCAGAAGTGGAATAAACCAGTTATGTTGGTGCTAAGATGGTGTCTTTGGCACACCCCCTCCTCTTGTGCCAGCCCTCTTCCTCGTCGACAGTCATGTCAAACTGGTTCAAAACCAAAAATGTCCTGACCTGACTGAAAATTGTTGGATTGTATACCTGGATTATTGAGCGTGGACATTTTTGGTTTAAGACCTATTGTTAGCATGATTAACTCTGTCACTTACAATGTTTCCAAATATCTGGCGTCTGTACTCATCCCTTTAGTTGGCAGCTCAGAACACCACATACAGAACACCATGGCCTTTGTGGACAAGGTGAGGGATGTCATCATGGAGACTGATGAAACAATGGTCTCTTTTGATGTCACATCACTCTTCACGTGCATTCCTGTTGATGATGCAGTAGAGGTGGTCAGTTTAAGATTAAAATCAGACACCACTCTGAGCAGCAGGACCACGCTTTCCACAGAACAACTGTGTCAACTCTTGAAACTGTGCCTGCAGTCAACCTACTTCACATATGGGGAGCAATATCATAGGCAGAAACATGGGTGTGCTATGGGGTCTCCAGTTTCTCCTATTGTTGCCAACCTGTACATGGAGGAGGTAGAAAAGAGAGCCTTGACATCCTTTTCAGGGACACCACCAAGTCATTGGTTCAGGTATGTTGACGACACCTGGGTTAAAATCAAATCTCAGGAAGTCCAACATTTTACTGACCACATCAACTCTGTGGATAAATACATCAAGTTCACACGAGAAGATGTAAAAAATGGCAGGTTGGCTTTCTTGGACTGTGAGGTCTCAGTCTCTGATAGAGGACATTTGCAAACTGAGGTGTACCGCAAACCCACCCACACAGACCAGTATTTGCAGTTTGACTCCCATCACCCTTTGGAGCACAAGTTAGGAGTCATCAGGACTCTGTACCACAGAGCAGACAGCATCCCCACTAGCTCAGGAACCAGGCAGAAGGAGAAATCCCACACAAGACAGGCTCTAGAGCAATGTGGATATCCTAACTGGGCCTTCCTGAAAGCAGAAACCCAAACAGGACTCCAGTCAGCCATCAGGTGAAAAGGAGGAACCCAGACCCAGACCAGTGGTCATTCCGTATGTTGAGGGAGTATCAGAGAAACTGAGACGTTTATTTTCTAAACATAACGTCCCAGTGGCTTTTAAACCCCAAAATACATTAAAGACTGGTTCATCCCAAAGATCCAGTCCCCCGGCACAAACAGAGTAATATTGTGTATGCTGTTCAGTGTCAGGAGGGTGATCAGTCTTACATCGGGGAAACTAAACAGCCACTGGCCAAAAGGATGGACCAGCACAGAAGAT